GGCCCGCCGCCCCCCGTCCCGCGCCCGGGCGCCAATTAACCCAACAATTTTTTCCTCGTTAATTTCGGCGCGAGCCGCGGGGATGTGTTGCACAAAAAACGAGCGAGTCGCTGGGGCAGAAAGGAGGGCGGGAGGAGGGACCCGCCGAGAGGCTGCCGGCACCCGGCTCCGGCTGGCAGCCGGCGCCGGAAAGGCGCCTTTTTTCATATTTAAACCACGCGGAATATGTACATTTTTGATTCCTACTTACGCTTTCAGGGGGTTGTGAATGACAGTCGCCATTTTGCTACAATGTAACAGAATATTGTGTCTCGGAGTTCTAAAGGTTCGCTCAGGGGAAGCGGCCAGCCAATGGCAGCGCCGCATACCGGCCCGCCGGCCAATGGCGCGGTGGGGGCGGGGCCCGGGCGCTGCTAGTTATTAGGGGAGCTGTCAAAGCCCAGAGGTCACTCCCTCTCCCTGGAACTGGCGGCGAGCAGGTCTTAAAGGGGCAGCGCCGCCGCCGGGGCCGCCGCCGCGCCGGGGGGCACCCCGCGCTCCAGCGCGGCACTTCCCCGCCGCGCTCCGGCCCCAGCTCGAACGCGCCGCGCCGGGAGAAGGGAAGCCGGGCTCGCTCCACATCCCCTCGCTCCGCAGCCGCTGCCCCCCTGCTTCCCAGGCGGCTTGCCCCGCCGGGGGAACGAGCCCACGCCGCCCGCTCGGTCCGCACGCTGCCCGGCAGCGTCCCTCCCGAGCTGGTTCCCTTTCTGCACAGCCGCGCTCCCCGCCAGGTCTCCGCGAGCCGCCGGTTCTGGCAGCGGCTTCAGGGCAGCGCCGCTCCCCCTCCCCCAGGAATTTCCCTCTCCCTGTCAGTCATCCCGGCCCGCAGCCCCTGCGCCCTTACATAACGCGCGGCGGCCGGACCGCCCGGCCGGCCCTGCACAGCCCCGCTCCTCTCTCCCACGGAGCAACTTCTGGCGCGCCGGGAGCCGGGCCCCGTCTCCGTCCGGCACAGGGAGCCGCGGGGGAAAGAGCCCTGACCTGCGTTTCACCGGACGTGCAGCCCTGCGATGAGACAGAAGGCGGAGGCTGGACCCTGGAGCGCGGCAGGGAGCAGCAGGCAGAGCCCATTCCTGGGGAGGCAGCGAATTCCAGGAAGCCTGGGTTTACCTGCAACTAATTAAAGCAACTTGCGAATGAATTGTGGAGCATGACCCAAGTGATTTAAGAGGTGTCAATCCTGATCTCACTCTCAGATCCTGATCTCACTCTCAGAAGCAAATTCGCTGAAGTTCACAAAATTGCTCCAGTGTAAATTGCGTGCCAACAAGAGCAGAATCAAACAAAAAAGTTTTTTAATTGTCTGATAATAGTCAGCTTTGTCATCTCATACTTTTCTCCCACTCTCAAAGGTCTCGTCTCTCTTCAGGCATCCTCTATCCTTCTAAAAAACACAAACAAGCACCACCAAAACCAAGCCTGCATCCCCATTCTTTGCATCTATATATCCAGAAGAAACTCAACTAAAGACAATTAAAACACACTACTATCAAAGCAGTAAAAGTAAGGAAACTAGAAAAACATATTCATTCACAACTTACTGAATAACAGAATGGAAGTACTGATGTTTGTGAGATGTTACCAGAAGTAGAAATAGCGGTCTTCCTGGGCTGAACTTGAAAAAGCAAAGAAAACCAAAATCTCTCTTGCTTCTCAACTACTTAACAAAATAAAACTTTCCAATACTGGGGCAAAAGAGAAAAGGAAGAGGAATGGAGAAGAGAAAGAGTATAATTGTTACTCACAGTGAGGACAGGTACACAATGCAGTGGTTTCCCATTCATTAAAGATCATCAGAAGTTTGCAAAAAAGTTAAAATTTAGGATCTGTCTAGGGTTCCTCTTTCCAAAACTTTGCCTATTCCAACTACTAGGTCAGCTTCCGTACTGTGCCAGGCATATATCCCTGGAGGGAAGCATCTCTTCCATCAAAGCAATCTAAGCCATTTGGTTACAGGCACTGCTTAGGAGAAATAAGCTTTCTGCTAGCTGGAGAGTTGCCAAGATGCTGAGATCTATCCCAAAACAGTTCTGGGAAGCAATCTTTAAGAATGTTTCCATTATCATATTACATTATATTATTTAATATTGTAGTGGTCCAGGTGACATTGAATGCGACTTCAGACCCACCCTGCTCAGTACTCTCACTGCTCACAGGAAAAGCTAACCACAAACTGCCAACTTGTCACAAGCACACAGTTGATGTGTGTGCTGCAAAGAAACAAATGGCATAGCATGCACCTGAACTGGTGACCACCAACTAGCAACCTACACTCCATCTCACTACTATGAGGATTTCTGGTTCAACTTCACTTGTTGCTGTGATATTCACTTAATGGCAAACACTTGAGTACTTACTGTAGGATGGGCAATATTCACTTGTGGGATAATGATTTTGCTTCACACATTAAAAAAAAATAGCCTAGGACTGTATCACACTGCAGAACAGGAAATAGATTTGTGTTACTGAGAGAAGGTACCAAAATCTGGCCAAGCCCTAGAAAGCCCTGAGATTTTCTAATGCAAACTGGTGACATTTTCAGATAATTAAGAAACCCTGTTTGAGGTCATGTTTAGAAGTTTAATGAGTCCCTCTGGTCCTGTTTTGTTGGATATATAGGCCCATTCCTGCTCTGCAGGCAAAGAGCTCTTGGTGCAGCTTGGCAGGGAATGTATTGCAAAAATGGGATGAAGCCACACATGCTTCCCTGGCTGCTCCTGTTACTCAGACATTGGGCCTTTATCAGCTACCAGCAAAAGAAACAAACAGTGAGAACAGGCACAGATGACCTTGGATTGTTGATAGCCCTTTTCCCAGGCAGACCCCACGTTCCTGGCTAGGAGAACCAGTCAGCAGCACTGCCTTGCTCAAAGGAATCTCCAGGACACCCAAGGACAGAGCTGCCATATCAGAGCAGTGGGACGTCTCACCCACGGTAATGAAGACATCAGGCTTTGCTCACGTGTCCACCTAATTTGTCCACAGTGTTTTTCATGTAGAATCCCACAAGAGCTAGATTACCATTTTAGCTGAAAGAAAAAGCACAGAGCACTGACTGGCAGTTTGCTTGTAATGAACTACAGAACTTGCTTACATGTTCACTATTTGCAAGCAGGGAGAACATCACAAACCTGTATAATAAAAATTTCACACCACACCATAGTTACCTCCATTTTCACATATACACCAGTCCATTGTTGGTAGATCATTTATGACTTAAATTTTGGATTAATTTTTCTCCTGATTTTAGTGCACCGTAAGTCACTAATTAGTAATTTTACTATTGTTTTACATCCTGAAGGACCAACAAAGCTGAAAAACACTCAGTTATATATACACTAAATCACATCTTCAGGATCTTTACATTTGTACTTAGTTACCGTTAGTTTTATTCACACCCACCTGAAACATAGCAAGGAGGCTGCAAGAAAGTATAAATAATTTAAAAGTATATGGCATAAAAAACCCTAGGTGGGCATATTCTTAACAAGAGCTTGCCAAATGTTTGGACAGCCAGCACATAAATTTTGAAAATAGAAGGTAAGTTTTGACACAAATCTGTTGGGGTAATATCTATAACATTAACACAAGGTCTAAGCATACTGCATCTATAGGGTCAGAGTGAGCAGGGTTTTAGAAGAGAGTCCACCCCACCTCCAGTCCCTCATACAGAACTGCAGCTTGTCTCTACTCAAGAAGAAGAAACACAGTGTCATATCTCCTCAGTGTATTGGGAAGTGTCATGTCTCATGGATCATAATGCTGCTCTCCTGATCCACCTGTTTCAAACATTTTTACTATTTATGCAACACAAGCACATGGATACTTTTGTGAGGTCTCATTAATATTCCTGTACACCCTGAAAAGCCTTATTTTAGCTGACAATATTTCAAACTGTGAAAGTATTTTTACCTTGTATTTATTATCTTCTGTTTTCCTTTTTATCTTACTGAGTTTCAACATAGAGTTGCTGTTTTCTGGAGGGAAGGAAAGTTAGGTTCTTATCATACATTCCTCAACTCTTGTGAATTGGAAAGTGAAACAAACTAGACACCCACATTAAAAGCCACAAATCTAATTTTGCTATGGAGGGAAACAAAAAACAGAGCTGAAAAAGAAGTAATTTCTGGTAGATTAGCAACTGTTTAATATTCTCAGGTATTTCCAGTGATTTATAATTTTCTTTTCTTAATATATATTAATATTCAAAGTATCAGAGTCATATAGGTCTAAATAAGACAGTGTGCTGTAATGTAGCTTGTTACAGCAAAACAGGGCCCCACATGCACAGATATCCTGCAAGAGATTTGAAGCCTTAACCCCTTTTTATTTATTAAAGCTGTGCAGGCATCTCTCATACACTGTTTCTTGTCAGCCCTCCTCCTCCCTTTCTTTGATCTTTACCAATAGTTGCTTAGCTGAAAGAGGAGGAAAAGATATCAGAGTGTCAGTGTCACAGACTCAACACCAGCCTTCTACAGACACATCCCAAAAAAAATTTACGTAGTCAGCATAACAAAGATAACTATGGAGCTAGACAGTGTAAAAATTGGCACCAACAAGTCATTCTTCACAACTTGGGGAATTGTATCTATGAAAGGGATCTAAAATTTTTAGCCTTTTTTTTTTAAAGCTAAATTTCCCCTCTAAACCTATAGCAACAATTCTTGATGTCTTTAGTGCATCTAGATTTCAGGCCTGATTCTGTTACCCAGTTTTCTTTATTGTATGCACTATTCAGTTTTTTTATCAAGTACACCTGAATTACCTGTATGCTGATGTCTGGACTCAAGCCCTTTATTTTTTAATGGGGTGTTCTGAAAAAATACATTTTAATACTAAAGCTGAGTCTCTACTGGTAAGATGTACCTGGAGGCCTCAATCTGAAGCTTTCAAAAATTTGGGGAGACAGAAGTTATGTAAGTTCCCAAAGCCTGGCTCAAGTCTGTCCCCAGTTTAATAAACTGCTGAAAATCTATTTAGTGTGGCTGCCTTATTTCTTGAGAAACTAGTTGGGGGAAAATAAAAGAATAAAGAAAAAAAAATTAAGAATAAAGAAAAGGTAAATACTTTGGGAGTCCTTTTCACTCTTTCCTTCATTAAAGGTAGGAGGAAATGTTTTTACATTACATCCATCAAAGATGCAAGTGAGTTTCGAAGGTGACTTAAACCTTGGCAGGAGCAGGTAGTATAGATTAGGGAACAGTCAATAGATGATCTGACCCTCCCTAGAAAAGTTCCT